ATTAAAATGAGAACTCTCCCAGCTCTGCAGGACCTTTCTTTGCAAAGTTATAGAATTTACACGAAAAGCCCTAAATGTTCATTGTCAGCTCAAAGCTATAATTCAGGACTTTTCGTGTAAATTCTATAACTTTGCAAAGAAAGGTCCTGAGGAGCTGGGAGAGTTCTCATTTTAATCAGAAATTTGCGGTCTACAATGATGCTTCATTAAGAAAGGTTTTGGTTATCTTTTAGAGTTTCTGAAAACCTGTTTTTCCAGAAAACTGGAACTTCGTACGATTAAGGGCAGCTCCCATAATCATATTCGGAATCAGCATGATCGATAACCTATAACCCACTAGATTTCGATCAAAAAGCGTTTTATCACCTCGAGAGTTTCCCTCGTTAGTCCAAGCATGGAATTTCGTAAGAAATAAGCTAGCTGCTCTTGCTGAAGGAGCGTCCGCTACTCCGTTTACTACAGTTAGCTAAAAGAGCAAAATTTAGCGGATATAACTGGCTCAAAACTGCAACCGGTTTAAAACCAAGAGGTCGGATCGTGCCGGCCGGTTGCTTTTCAGACCAGTTGAAAACTGGCATAGTGAAAACCTGCAAAAAAGCCGGCCGATTGAGAAATTTTATCGGTAAAACTAAATATCTTTAAGGAAAAAGTGGTCTTCACTAGCTTTTTCTTATTTCTCTTAGTTGTTTTATCAAGTTTCTTTTGAATGAAGACGAGAAAAATACTGAAAATTCTTAAAACGGCAAAAAACCGGTTGACACCGGCCGCATCATATTATATTCATCAAATGTTCAATGCATATTCAACTTTTATATATTCAAGGAGGAGAGTATTCACTATAAATTTCTTTCGTATTGTACGAACTTCGTGAACTAAAATTATATTAGTTACAGAAGACCTTTCTAATACTAGTTAAAGTGCACGAGTTGCACACGATAATGATCTATTTTTCACAAAAGGATTACTTTTACTTTTTTATTTTTGCAGTGAGAAGACAAATGGGAATAGTGTTTCGAAATATACTTTAATATAAACACAACAACTATTTAGACATACATAAAGGTTTAACTTCGAGTTATTCATGTTTAACAGTGTAAAATTAGTATAATAAAATGAGCTAAAGCATGTGCAAATACTTGATGTTCAGTTGTAATAACACTAAGACTGACTTTTTTACTCAAATATACGTCAAGGTCCCTTACTCAAAATTTGGAGGGAAATTACATTTTGAAAGTCATTGGAAAGCTTGCATTTTTCAACGATAATCAGCGATATTTACAGCCATATGTATCAAAAAGTAAAACGAATCCTTTTGTAAAAAATAGATTATTATCGTGTGCAACTCATGCACTTTAACTAGTATTAAAAAGTGGTAATGGATCTTCTATAATTAATGTAATTTTAGTTCGCGAAGTTGGTACAATACGAAAGAGATTTACAGTGAATACTCTCCTCCTTGAATATATAAAAGTTGAACATTTGATGAATATATAAAATTTATTCGTTTCTTGCTTTATTCTTTAATCGACAAATCGTAAAGAGAATTCAATAAATTTTTGTATCAAAATAACTTTCATGTATTCGTATACATATATCAAAAGAAACCGATAATATATCGAAAGGTCATTAAAATAAATCCGTTGTACCGTGGCAGAGCGGCAGAGGGAACGGCAGAGGAAACGGCAAGAATTTTGGTATACTTTTAAAAAGTAAACAATAGTTAACTCTTAGATGATTATGCTACTAGTAGTAAAGTGATGTGGTTACTTGTGAAATATTTTGTTGTAATTGTTCATTTTCAAATTTAATATGTGATCGAATATTTTCCATTTCATCTAATTGTTGTTTTAAAGCTAATTTTTCTATTTGTGCTTGTTCAATAAGTTCATTTATTTTTGTAAACTAGAATAAATTTCATTAGTCACTTATTTTCTAATATTTTTCTTCAGTAAATTTCAATAACTTACTTCTGCATGATGTTGATCTTGTATGGTTTGAATTTGTGAATTTAACGATTGAATATGAGTTTCATGTTGTTGTTGAATAATTTCTTGTTGAGCTAATTCTAGAGAGAAAAGTATAATTTGAAAATAAAATAAAATGTCATATATAATTTATTTTTACCTCCTTTCAAACGTTGAATTTCACTCTCAAATTCATAACGTTTTTGATCAAATTCCTACAAAAATTGTAAAAAAAAATGTATAAAGGAGTTCGAACAAATGAATTTTATCGTATTTTACCTGCTTCATATTTTCTAATTCAACAGATGATTTTTCAACAATTGAATTTAGTTCATTTATATTATCATTACCAGATTGAATTAATGTTTGCTTCACTAGAGGGAAAAGATAAAAATCATTATAAAAAAAATTCATTATTTTTCTAACTGGATGATAAAATGACAAGAAAGAAAAATTTCTCTTAAAACAGGAGAAAACTTACATTCCAATTCATGATTAGCTGATTCCAATTGAACTTTAAATAATTTTAATTCTTTTTCATAATCGCCTAGTTGTTGTTCAAAATCTAAATCGACGAGAATAAACAAAAGACTAAAATACGCTATGACAAAAAAATATTTTACCTGATTTTTGCGTTTTATTTGTTGTTAATTTCGTTTCGAATTCTTTCAACTATTATCAATAATAAAATAAAAATAAAAAATTCATCTCAATATTCAATTCTTTGATAGAAAATCGACTATTACCTGTTGATTAATTTGTTCAGCTCGTTCTTTTTCCATATTGAATTTATTTCGCATTTCTTGATGTTGAAGTTTTTCTTGTTGCAAACTATGAACAACTTCATCAAGACGTATCTAAATTAATAAATGACATATTAATAGTAGAAATAGAATATAAGAAGAAAGATAAATACTTGAAAATTTCTGGCATCATTTTCACGTTCACGTTCTTCATTTTCAAAACGTTGTTTCAAATCATCATTATTTAACATTAAATCATTCATTCTTGCTTCAAACATTGCTTTTGTTTTTTCTTTTGTAAATTCAGCCAAATTCTAAATAAAAATTTTTCCTACTATTTTATTTTTTAATATTTTAAAATATTATCTACCTGTAATTTTTCAATAACCGGTTGTATTTGTTCATTTTTTTTAATTTCATTTTTTAAAAATTTACATTCATTATCGGTTTGTTCATATTTAATACGTTCAAATTTTCGTTCTATTTCAACTGTATTCAATTTCATTTCTAATGTTGATTTTTCTTCTTTTATTTGACGTAATTCCTTAAAGAAAATGAGTCAGATAGTAGATGAATTTAATACTAAATTTCTAATTTATATACATACATTTAATATTTCATAATATTGTGATTCTTGTTTTTCTTTCATTTCTAATATTGTTTTATGTCGCTCTTGCCATCCTTTAATTTCTGTTCGTAACGATGTGATTGTTAAACGATTTGTTGATTGTTCATCAATAGCTAAATTGAGCTAAAAAATAAATAACATCATGATTCATAAAATTCTTTCTTCTTACTTAAATCTGATATGATATATAAATAGAATTCATCTTACACTAACATCAGATAATATTCAAATAAATAGTTAACAACCGACTACTAACAATCATTACCATTTCAAACAGACATAAGTATCTCTCTAACTTTATAATTTAATAAATACAAACGAACATTAAGATTAGTGTAACATGTAGCTCGTGCCTTTTTTGAATATTTAGTAGACAGTTGTTAAGTATCCATCTAAATATTATTTGATGTTAGTATAATCAACTTGAGAAATTCTATCCATTCATTATATTAGTTGTGAGTTCGAGACTGTCAATAAGTGTTAAGAATGTGTACGAATATATTCTCTTATTGCAAAATTAATATAAGACTTACTTTAGTAATTGTCTGCTCAACTTCAGTTCGTGATGTTAATAATTCATATTGTAATGTACGAATTTTTTCATTTGATGATCTAAAAAATGTACACAGAAGTGAAAACAATATCAAATATTACGCATCACTCTTCTACCTTGTTAATTCATCTTTTTCATTATAAATTTGAGTATTTTTCTTAGATAATTCATCAATTTTTTCTTGAAGACGAGTAATTTGATCACGTAAATTTTCTAATTGATGATAATTCGTTGATACACTGGATGATGACGATGAATTCTAATTAATAAAAAATACATATTTATATTTGAACATATTCAAAATAAAAAGGAAAAAGAATAAAAAGAAACTCACTGTTTGTGATGATGAACGCGAAACGAGTAGACGAAGAAAATCGCGCTCTTGAACAAGAGAATTCATCTAAATAAATAAAGTAAAAACAAAATAACAAATATTCGAAAGAAAAATAGAAGTTTATATTAATTTACTTGAGTTTCCCACATTTCTAATTGCGTTTTAGCTTCTTTCAATTTAACTTCTTGTAATTTATGTTCTTTTTTCAATTCTTCAAACCTAAATAATTTTAATAAATATGTCAAAAATTATCAATAGATTCAGATGATAAACTCTTACCTTGTTCGATTCAAATCTTCATCTTCAATTACATTTTGTGCACGTAATTCACGTACCATTTTGTCTAACTTTTGATTAGCATGTTGAAGTTCAACAACATTTCTGAGAAAAAAAGAATATGAAAAAATATGATTAACTAATATGAGTCGTAGTATTGTTTTTTCAAGGAAAAAATCTTACCGAAATGTAAGTGGTACTTGTTGACTACTATTTTCATCTTCACTAATAGTTGGATTTATCTCAGCTGGTCGTTTTCCTGTTCTATGTTCTTCAATTTCTGCTAATAATACTTGAATCTGTAAAATGAAAGAAAGAATTAATAGAATGATAGTCACAGAGACATGAATACACTTACTTTAGTACCCAATGATTTATTATCATCGTTCATATACTGATTTTCTCGTTGAATATAACGATAGTTTTCAATACTTTCATCGGACAATTGATGTAAATCAGATAATTCCTAAAAATAAAATTTAAAGATATTTACAATGAGAAGACATTGAGTTACACGTACTTTTCTCGCTTCATTTAGTTCACTTGTTAATTTGGCAATAACTTCAAATGATGCTTCATAATCTTGTTTTTGTTTTCGTAATATTGGTGCGGCTTCTTTTACCATCTAGAAAATAAAAAATATTATATTAATAATGATAAAAAATAAATGTTTTATTAATAATATACCGCTGCCAATTGTTCGTAACCAAATCGATAACGTTCTTTGCCTGTTAATTCTAACATGAGCGCATTTTTTAATTGACGACATTCCGAACAATTCTATACAATCAAATATATAAGTCTAATAATTTCATCATTTTTTCTTAATACTTACAGATATAGATGGTGTACTTGGTGTACTTGCTGTTGTTGATGTTTCAGTTGAACGTATATGACTCAAAGTGCCATCAAGAAAATTTGTAAATTGGGTTAAATCAGCGCCTAGACGATGAAAAAAAGATAAAATAAATAGAAATAAAATAAAATTCAATTTGAATATTTTACATACCTTTACTACGAATAGATTCGATCAATTGTGTTGTATTATCTAACTCATCTTGTAATTTACGAATTGTTTGATCTTAAAACAAAAAAAAATATTATATGCTGGAAAACAAATGTATTTTAACAAAACAAACGAACTTTTGATCAACTATGAAAGGTATTTAGAACGTAATCAGTTTCTATTAAAACACAATGTTAGTTCTTGCTCACAAGAGAACAGTCTCAGGTGCTCATCTCCACTTTTAATAATATTATAACTGTCGATAGATAATATTGTTTTAAATAAGCCTAAAACGATTTATATCCTTTTTACTTCTTTGAAAAGTTTGAAATTTTTTGTTTTATTTGTTTAGAGGGAGATACAATAACAGTGAAATTTTCCAATCTCAGTGAAAACAACGAGTGAAAAGCTGCCATTTTTTACATGATTGTGCTGATCATAATCTACTAACAGCGAGGAACCATATCCCGATTGAGCTATACAGTGTTTTATCTAGGTTTCGTTTTTCGGGTGGGCGGTTGAAATTTTTGGAGGGGCTGTTGGCTAAAAGAACTTTTGCTAAAACGAAATCACCTATTGATTTTCGGAAAGGCGAAGCGAAAATTCGGGTGGGCGCCGCACACATGGCCTACACACTAGATAAATCACTGGAGCTATATATCCCAATTGGGATATAAAAATGTGTCCCGATCAGGATATCTGCTGTTTTGTATATCCCAATTGGGATATAGTTTCTTTACAGTAGCGCCGCAGTTTAAAACCGCCCAAAATTAGTTAATGTGGCACTTGTAGTGCAAACATGATACAGAACGGAACATATCAGCCGCCAGAACTTGAGTGATGAAAACGCTTCAGTATTTTTAAAACTTAAAGCTTTTGAACGCAATTTACGTATACGAAAACTTTTTTGTAAACAATGTTGTTTACGTCGTTGCGCGGACGTCGAGTCACGGTGATCGAGCGTAACTTTGCCTGAATGTTTCACCTCGTGTATGCCCAGAGTAAGAGAAAATATCAAGATATTTCGAGAAAGTGTTAAAAATAGCTAGTAAAAAACGTAATATATCCTGATCGGGGACTAGAGATGAGACCGTGTTCGTACGCTATATATAGTGACCACCGACGTTTTTTCTTTCCTTTCCTTTCGTGTGTAGACACGCGACGGAATGGAAAAAATATCTTGTGGCTATTCATTTCTGTTTCGTTTTTACGAACTTTCATTTATCATGAAAGTGTCTAGATATATTTTCAAACAAAGTGAAAGTGAATAGACAAACTTTCACAATTTGTGAAAGTATG